TAAATCCTCTTTAGAAAGTCCGATGCAACCCAGTATATAATCCGGTAAAGCTGGATGGTAACAGCATTTCTTACAAGCGGAGTGGATTTTTAAGCCACTAATCAAATGAATGACATTTAAGTTGGGCACTTGTTAGTCTAGCCAGAGCAGTCTGGGAGCCACGGTCACATTTGATTTCGAGTAGAGAGCCAGGGGATGTTCCTGTGTATCATCGGTGCGTAGGTGGAATTTTGCACTCTTAAAAGCTCTGAATGCCCTTATTCAGATTGAACCTTCCCCTGAAAATGAATTGAAATGTTTACTTCAAATCGAGAAGCTGGCTGAAAAATGTGGGCATAATAAACAAACCAAACATCAATTTTAAAGTTTTTTCCAAGAGTATAATTCATATTTTGAATTAAAGCTTATTTTCTACTGCATATCTTCTGCTTCATTTTATGATTAAGGTTAGATAGCATAGTATAATACACTGACTACTAATAAGTATTTGGACATCTTAATGCAAATGACGATATCTGCGGTTCTAAGGTACGTCACGGAATCCGCTGGTATATATCGTGTAGGAAACAGCAGCGGCTTTAGTCGCATGCAAGATGCCTCGCAGTTCGGAGCTCTCTGATTTCGAGAAAGGTATAATTATCGGGTATCACAAATGTGGCCGATCCTTAAGAGACATATCTAGCGATCTGAAGTACCCAAAATCGACAGTGGCCTATGTGATTAAGAAGTGGAAGGTGAGTAATGATTGTCAGAATGTGCCCCGAGTCGGCAGACCAACGAAACTGGGAGATAGAGACCGACGAGTGCTGTCCAGAGAAATTCGGAAGAACCGCACCCAACCGATGGCCCTCATCCGCGAGGAGTTTCAACGGGCATCCAGGAGTATTGTTTCAATGAATACCATCCGTAAGGAAGAACATCTGCTTGGTTTTCATGGTCGTGCTGCTGCCCATAAGCCTTTGATCATAAAGTCCAATCGCGCTGCTCGGTTAATGTGGTGCAAAGCACATCGAAATTGGACCGTAGATCAGTGGAAACGGGTTCTTTGGAGTGATGAATCAAGGTTCACCCTTTACCGTTCGGATGGCAGGGTCTGGGTCTGGCGTCTACCTGGAGAACGTCTCCTGCCAGAATGCATTGTGCCAACAGTCAAGTTCGGCGGAGGTGGAATTATGGTCTGGGGGTGTTTCTCCTGGTATGGGCTGGGACTCTTGGTCCCCATTTATGCTAAGCTCAACTCCGATGCCTACTGCACTATTTTGGATAACAATGTGCTTCCTACGTTGTGGCAGTTACGTGTTGGACTTCCTACGTGTTGGACCCCTGTTACTTTCAGGACGACAATGCCAGTTGTCATGTTTCGACGTTAACCAAGGCTTGGTATGGTGCCAATGGAGTTCATCGAATGCCCAGAGTCCAGACCTGGACCCTATCGAGAACGTCTGGGACTCTTCTGGGACGAGTAGCATCGCCGAATTCATGGGTGCACTACCGTGCAAATTCGGTGAAGGAACTTCTATGTCTTCTCCAAGCCTAGTGAAAGAAAATACCACTAGCTGTCATACAAAGACTTGTGAAAAGTATGCCCCGGAGGGTCCACGCTGTAATTACCTCTAGTGGAGGCTCTACCAACTATTGATTTTGAATAAAGTTAGTTTTTCTTTTCTATCACAGGTGTCCAAATACTTATTGGTAGTCAATGTACATTTTCTGGGGTTATGCATACTAGAAGATTTTTCTTCTTCAGTGAAACATCTTTAAAGTTATATTTTCGCTTAACATCGGATAATTCGAACTCTTTTATTAGAATCTTTGAGCTCGAATTAATGAGCGTCCAAATTAAATTTTTTAATTGAAGCAAAATTCGAAATTTGTGTTTCACTTTAATTTTTTTTAAACGAATTATTTTTATTAAAAGGATGCAGAAGCAATTTAATTAATGAAGCACACAATTAAATCGTTTGAGGCCATAGGTTCGTTCTTTAATAATAAAATTTTACGACAGATATTTTAGCAGCATTTCATGTTTTTATTTTTTCCCCAGAGTGCTTTTAAATTATTTCAAGAATTAACATCTATAAACACTAAACATAGAACACCGGATTCTCTCCAAAATATAAAAATATCTCCAAGGCTATTGCAAGGTGATAGACAGTGGTGATCCAAGTTTACTGAAGTAGCAAAAATCACTCCCCTTTTTAATGAACGCTTCTACTGTACATAAAAGGGCACTATATAGCCAATGTTTTTGCCGCCCAGACGGTATAGTGGTTAGGGCAACCGATTGCGATACCAAAGGGCTGACGTTCAAATCCCGGAGAAGGCATGGATGTAAAATTGCCTGTCCTCTCATACGAAGTACGAATAAAAGGAAGGACCACCCCGCACTACGAGTGAAGCACTGCTTTGGTCTCCAGATGGGGTGTTTTTTGCTTACATCCAGAGCTTCCTTGGCCAGCGCTTTTAGTGACATTTACGCAAAAAATCCCATCTTGGTTATCTTTCAATAACTTGCGGTACCTTTAAAATTGTATACGTCTTTCGATACCCTTGCTAGAGTATTCGCTACTTTTATTTTGTGTTCCAAACACCAAAATGTTTTAAATAAAATAAGTGTTTTGTCATTCACGCATTATCATTTTATTTTTATATAACTGAAAAAGAATTACTTTGGGTTTACTAAAAAATGAAAAAAAAAATAAAGTTCTGTGCCTCTTTCTTAAAATTTTGTTTAGCAACACGTTTAATTGATAACTCAATGCATTTGAAAATTATGAATGAAAAATCTTTGTCATTCAATGCATATACTTGAGTAGTGGTCTGCTGTTTTCGAAAGGGCTTCAAGACATGAAAAAAGCACCATCAATGTTGCTAATCGGTATATCAATATACTTTGCATATTTTTACCTCCCCAGCTCTTCTTAATGGCTTATCGTGACGTCCCCTGAGGAGCTGTGGAAGGGGAACTGTACGATGGAGGTAGGAAGTAAGATGGAGTAGCCTTGAACAGGTTTCTCCCGTGCCCTGCTCTGAAGCACCGGCGATCCCTACGTGGTGACCAAAACATTGGGTCATTTACCATTAAGTTCAATGCGTTTTGACGCGATCGGATGTAAATATTTTGTAATTATGTCGTAAATATGCATATAAATGTACATATTTTCTTTTTCTACAATACTTCAGAGTCCTAAGTATATGAAAACAACATATTTTTAAACAACATTTCATTCTGAACGGAATTAAATGCTATAATTTTCACAGGACAGTTTTCTCAGAATGGTTTAATTTGAATGAAATATTTTCACAAGTTTTCGTTAATTACATTAGAAAAAAATTTAAGGTAATTCGATTCTATTCGGTTAAGGTACAAAAATTAAGAACAAAGTTTATTGTATTATTAATATTAAAATTATGCATTATTTCTTTTCGATTTATAGAGCTTCTTCCCAAAATACTTTCTTAAATATGACATGATTTTTTGGCTTCTGAGGCATCTCTTAAATCGAAAAATATAAGTCAATTTATAATTAATGTATTATTAATACTAAAATTATGCATTATTTCTTTTCTATTTATAGAGCTTCTTCCCAAAATACTTTCTTGAATATGACATGATTTTTTAGCTTCTGAGGCATCTTTTAAATCGAAAAATATAAGTCAATTTATAATTAATTCTCTATTCCGTTCATTTTAAATTAGAGAATTATTAGAAATTAGCGAAATACTTTAAATAGTACTTAACTTTCTCTGAACATTTCTGAAAAGGAATAAAATAAGGATTTTATTTTGAATTAACCCAAATAAATAAAACGTGTAAGCCCAAAGTGATTATTTTTCAGATATGTAAAATCAAAACGGTGAGTTTAAAATGAACAGCAGTAAAGCCTCTCCTCTAAAAAATTTTTAAAGGTACATGTTACAATAATATATGGATGTGAATAAAAAAATTATTTTATTTAAAACATTTTGGCATTTGGAACATAAAATAAAAGTAGCGAATACTCTATCAAGGGTATCGAAAGACATATACAATTTTAAAGGTACCGTAAGGTATTTTTCATTCTTTAAGCATAACATTTTTGTTAAAATCTATATTTTTGTAGTTCAACAGCTTAGAATTTTATAAAACAAATTCATAATCAAAATCGTTGTTGTTAATTATCGAAAAATAACCAAGATGTGATTTTTGCGTAAATGTCACAAATCCATCACACTATGACTGTTTCTTTCATGCAAAAGTGTCCCCTTTTCGATTTGTATGGAACTGTCGTGTATCGAAATACTATCAGAACACTGTCAAGCGAGCTTCTGAATGTAAACAAAGAACACCCCATCTGGTGACCGAAGCTTCCAAGCAGTGCTTCACTTCAAGTGCCGGTTCGAGCTTCTGAATGTAAACAAAGAACACCCCATCTGGTGACCGAAGCTTCCAAGCAGTGCTTCACTTCAAGTGCCGGTTCGAGCTTCGAAGTAAACAAAGAACACCCCATCGGGACGAATTCCAAGCAGTGCTTCACTTCAAGTGCCGGTTCGAGCTTCTGAATGTAAACAAAGAACACCCCATCTGGTGACCGAAGCTTCCAAGCAGTGCTTCACTTCAAGTGCCGGTTGGCCACTCCTTCCTTTCTTACCTCCATGAACTGTGCTCTCCAAATTCGCGGGAACAGGAATAATTTTTAAAAACGCGGAAAAAGGAATCGCAGAAACAAAATTAATTCTCTCCTCTTACTTCATTTACCTGCATGGCGACCACCTCTGGCCTTAGGAGTGGCCATTGCTGAAGATAAGGCAACTGCCCGACATTCGATTTAAAAAAAAATCAAAATTTTGCGTTAATCAACTACTAATATTAGCTTAAACAACAAATATACTTTTCATTTCAATAGTTTACAATCATAATTAACCAATTAATTCAGTTAATCTTTTAATTAATTAAATTAATCTTTTAATTTCATAGTTAATTAAACACTCTGAACTATGTTCGAATCAGCTAAAATTACCTCGCATTAAAAAATTCAATCCAGAAGAGAGATGCAGAGCAGGTGGTCGAACACGACCATGTTTCACCGAAGGAAATATATAATCCGCGTAGGAGCCCTGTTTTAAATAGCATTTAATAGATTCCGTCTCACCAATCGCAGCTTTCAGGACAGCCAAACGAAGAGCTTTTGTATCCTGCAAAGAAATAGGTTTTAAAAAAATGTCCATATACTATATTAACCGAAAAATAATCTTTTTTGGTAGAGAGACCTACAAAATTCCTTGAATTTTGAACAAAATAAAATGAGCAACCGCATCGCTATGCATGCATAAGGACACAGTTTATCTTAGAACCCGTATTTCTTTTATGAAGCTTCAAAATTAAATTTGATATTTCACACATATTAATGAACATATCGCTAATAATAATGTATTGTTGCGTACGTATGGGTTCGTATAAGATTGAATATACAAGTCCGATAAAAAGGTTAATAAAATTTATTCTGATTAAAACAAATATAAGAGAACGCTGGAATTTGTCTTAGAGATATTTGTACAAGTGTTCGCAATATCACGCAGTAGAATCAGTAGTTATACTTCAAACTACTAAAAAAAGTTAGAATACAATACAATGTAAAGAGAAAAGAAAATCTAAAGAGAGGGCTAATTCATATATCTGAGTTCCCGCTGAACGGAGATGTTTCTCTCTTTGGCTTTTTTTAGCTTTTAATCGGCCGCGAGAAGGCAATTTCTTTGCTTCACGAGATTTCTGGAAAGCAAAAGAGTAGAATTACGGTTACAGCTAACATAGTAGTCAATAACATATATTCAAATTAAATATAAATTACCGTGATAAACTTTTATTCAATGTTAAATGTACGTGCCCCAGTCTTTTTACTTTTCCGGCATAGCTTTCTCTTAAACCCTTTGACGGTTATGGAAATGAGCAGCTTCCGTTTACTTAATTCGCGCAGCATTAGGAGTAAACAGAGTCGAAAGTGCAGCTGTTTCCCCCGCCGTTCTTCCGAAAAGTCACCTTTCTCGGCGATGCCGTAGATAGCTCGCCTCGCGCGTTTTAAAAATTTCTTAAGTATTGTAGTACATAAATACAGTTTTTACGTACTTGAAAAAATTATAAACAAAATTATAAATGATTATAACCATTATATAAATAAAATAGTAATTATAATATAAGACAAAATTAAATGAAAGAACTAAATAAAATACAACTAATGTAAAACTTTATGCACAGTAAAATACAGTAATTACCTAAAAATCTTTTTGTGTGATATACTTTAAAACATGGAATTGCACTAATGGGGCATTACAGTCTTTGCATACGTACGTGTTTCACGGCGAATCTTTTCGATTAGCATCATTTTTGCTCCGACATACCACACATCGTCTAGTAGGTTCTTTCTAATAGATTCAGAAATATTTGTCACGCACTTTCATGCCTACATCCAGTAAAACTAAATCGGCTAGGAGCGTGAGAACTTGAATCAATTATACACCCTGTCGAACACTCGAAAAATCTTCCTCATCGCTTGAATCGTCTTCTGAGGTTGAAATACTGTGAACAAAGTCTTCATCAGATTCAAAACTTATAAGCTTTCTGTATCACAATCATAATCATCATCATACCTATCTAACTTTCGCTTTTGAGCCATTTTACTGTACAACACCCTAACAACCCGCGCCAAATACGTATAAAAGAACAAGGTAAAAAAAAAAAAATCACCTTCATTATGCAAAGAAATTCATGGAACTCTACTGCCATCTGTAGACAGTAAAACTAACTAAATTTCGCGAGTAGCATTGGTTTGAAACACAATCAGTGCAGAATAATAATGGCGAACGAAGTCAGCTCGTCAGCGCGCATTGGGGGAAAATTTCACTACGTGAGTAGTGCTCGTTACTAACCATTTCGGTCAAAATCTTGGTCCCGAGCGGAACTCGTTTGCGCGCATTATGAAGCACGATTCGAGCGAGCTGAACTCGTTCATAACCATCAAAGGATTAAAACTCGTCTCGCGCTGCATTGCAGGGGAAAAATAACATTTTTAATTATAATTCTACTAACATCAGCTATCTAAATACAAAAATCGTAGCAGTATTTAATTTACTAATGCACTAGTTTGAAGTCATGAAGTAATGAAACATTTTCTGAGATCTCAAAAAAAAAAAAAAAAAAAAAAAAAAAATTCAGGTAATTTATTGGCTTACACTTAACACGAGTGGAACGCCCAGCTCGGTTTTGTTACTTCCTTGTACGAAGTAAAAAGGAAGTATTGTAATCGAGAAAAGTTTCAGGCAGCATATTTTAACGAAAATATCCATTTTGACCGCTTCGAATGCAATTTAACGATGTTTTTGCGGATATCTGTACGTAGGACAGAATAAAAGACTCGTTTCCTCCAAAAAAAATTATAAAAAAACTGCTTTAAAATGAATTCTATAGAGAATTTTTCGTGGCGTCTGTTCGAAAGTATGTACGTACGTATCTCGCATAACTCAAAAACGAGTAGCCTCAGAACGTTGAAATTTTGTATATAGGACTGCTATAACATGTAGATGTGCACCTCGTATTTTGGTTGCAATCGGCCGCACCAAACGTATATAAATATATTTATATATGTATCCACTCTGTTACCCGACTCAGTGATCACAGTTTCTTTACTCGTATATGTTTGTAAATTGTACATTTTTTGCTTTAAAAGTGATTGAATTATGTTGTTTTTATCTTCCGGTTCAGGTTTTTATGCCTTTAGTAAATCTATATGAAATATTTTTAGAATTATCAACAATTTTAAAGTTGTTTAAGTGCCGCTAAGCCTGTTTTTTTTTTATGGCGGCTATTGATTGTTTACATTTGAAACAGCAGACTAATGGATTTGTTGCCAATCTAGAGAAACTTAGCATCGCAACAACAAAGATAACGCTTTCATTTATTATTGCCAATTAAATCATACTTAATCCTTCCTGGAATTTTTTCGAGGAAATAAGTGTTTGAGATTTACTTCGTGATTTTTAATATAGATATTTTGAGTTTTTATGTATTTTTGCCTTGTCGCGAAGTGAGAAATCAATTAATTGAATGAGAAATACTCGATCGTCTGTGAAAAAGTGTTTCTTTTTTGTTTAGTTTGCTTAATTTCTTTTATACATCGTTCTAGCTTTATTATAGTATTTGAATAGAACATGTGGCAACGATTGGATAATTCTTTAAATGATATAAATTTTGTGCATTCTGAATTATAATATGAACGAAATATAATACTGATAAGTAAACCTAGCGCCAGAGTGTCGCTATGGTAAACAAATACTAGAGTGAATTTTAAAGAATGCATTTATTCTTTTGTGGTTTATGCGCTGTCGGCGAAGTAGATTTAATTCAATCCAATAAGTTTAAATGAAATGCAAGAAAAAATGCGTATAATTTAATATTCCGTACAAGGAAGTCATGTGGTGTACACATCAGATTTTTTTTCCTAATAAGATCAAGTATACACGTGATATAGGGATATTTAGTCGACGCGGACATTTAGACAACAAGACATTTAGCCGACAGAACATTTAATGCACAGTAGGCATAGGTGATAACTCGTAGATGCAGACAAAAAGACATGTTACAAATGTTTCAGTAAAATGTGTCCACATTTATCTGATAAAAGGCTATTTCTAATGCACATGACGCAAAAGTTTATAGATAAGTACCCCACTTTTGTTACTTTCTTGTAAGAAGTAAAGGAAGTATTGTTATCGGGAAAACTTTTGGTTATTACATTTCAAAGAGAATATCCATTTTGATCGCTATCGAATGCAATTTAACGATCTTTTTGTTTGACATCTGTACGTAAGGACAGAATAAAGGACTTTTCCACAAAAGGGATTCTAAAATGGATTCAAAAGAGATTTTTGTCGAGACGTCTGTACGTACGTATGTATGCATGTATCTCGCATAACTCAAAACCGAGTAGCCTCAGAAAGTTGAAATTTCGTATATAAGACTGCTATAACATGCAATTGTGTACCTTCCTTTTTGGTTACTATCGGTAGCCCCAAAAGTGTATATACGTATATATAAAACCCAATCTGTTAATCGGCTCGGCGGGGTCAGTTTTTTTTATTCTTTTATGTTCGTAAATTGTATATTTTTTACTTTCAAAGGAGTTGAAGTACATTGTTCTTATGTTCCAGTTAATGTCTTTATGCCTTTAGTTAATCTGCATGCAATAGTTGTAGCATTATATATAATATAAAAGTTGTTTAAGTGCAACTGACTCTAATAGAACAATCATATTTATTTACATTTGAAACTTAGCAGAAAAGTGAATAAAGTCAGTTTTTGAACCTTCAGTATCTTTTTTCCGAGTAGAACATAAACGTAAACTCTCAATTTTGTGCCCCGAAAAATCTGCCTTCTTGCCCGCTCAGCGATTGTGTTTGGGTAGAAACTCTAATTTTAATTGTAAAAATTGATTTCTTTTAATTGTTTTAACTGTAATTCGTGTTTTATGTTTTTCTATAGCCTTCAATTTTTAATGAATATATTTTTGCCTGGCGAACTGAGAACTGATTTAATTGAATCAGAAATATATCTCTAATGAAATTCGAGGAAATAAACTTAAATGCAATGCAGCAAAAATATGTGTGTAATTTAATAGGCCGTACAAGGGAGTCACGTGGTATCAGCTTTTTTTTTTATTGAATGACTAAAAGGCTAATTTACTAAAGAAAATATAAATTTTAAAATTGGACAGGAAAGCAACCTTATAATGGTGAAAATTTCGAAATCAGTTTCGAGAACTGTCAGACATAAGAGCGGAACAATCTGATATGGATAGCAATGAGTAGAGTAAGGAGAAAAAAAATGTAACCTGTCAAGGAAAATAATAATGAAACATGAAAGAACTAAAATTAAAATTTTGAAAGCGTTGAAAAACTGATGCCGTTAGTTAACATGAAAAGGTTCAACAGTCTACTAAATGAAGAAGCTCTACAGATTCTTTTTTGCACATCGAAAATCAAATTTGAAATTAATGTCAAATTAAGATTAACTATTAAAATTAATTTATTTCCTTTTCCAAAAGAAACGATTCATATTCCCTGACGAGAAATTTCCATTCGCTTTTAGTTTGGGGGATATATGTCAAACCACACTGCCATAATAGGCTGATATTCAGCAAGAATTAAAATCAAAGAGGGGATTTTTAAGAATTGAACAACGAATTTTATCGATAAGCCAGAAAATGACTCGAAAGTTAAACAAGAATTCGGGAAGTTTCATAATGCACAGAAAGATTAAACAGTATTATGCATGGTACTGCTGTTGCGATTATTTTTTACGTCGAAAC